TATTGTTGATATTTGGCTCTGTTGACTAATGAGTTTGCTGACCACTGGTCTAGGGTTTCATTTAAGGTCAATATTTCTTTATTGATTTTTTGTTTGGTTGAACTGTCTAGAGCCGTCAATTAAGTATTAAGGTCTCCAACTATAATTGTGTTTTGATCTGTTTCTCCCTTTAGTTCTGTGAGTAGCTGTTTAATATATCTTGGTGTTTCCTGGTTGGGTGCATATATATTAAGAAGTGTTATGTTTTCTTGATGTGAAAACAAGTGTTCCTTTTATCATTATAAAGTGTCCATCTTTGTCTCTTATATATTTTGTCAGATATAAGTTAGTAAAGGTTTTTAATCAGTCATCCATGGTAAAGGAGGTACAAACTACCAGGAAAAACGATAAACAGGATAAAAAGGCAAGGGGGTCAAGACTGTAGGATATATTTTCTCTCTCTTTCCTGTGTTATTATAACCAAGTCACATTAAAATTAATGACATGTATAGTCATGCAATGATAGTGCCATTTTACACTACGCACTTTCTGGCATGGTACTTGATTGCATTCGGGAGTAAATGGTTCCCTTCTGAATGGTGATACCTGGATCCCTAGCAATCTCTTCTGGAGCCCTGCAAGGCCAATGTGGGGGATCATCGTGAGGGGGACGTAATGCTGTGCAGAGAGGGTGACTCACAGGTAGACAGGTGCCAGAACTAAGGAAAACAGTTTTCATAGGCACAGGATACTTAAAGGACAATGGGAAGAGTTGGATCTTCTTGCTTATGAATATTTTGAGACTGGATTTTGTTCATATTTTATTTTGAGGCTTAAGGGAACAAGACTTAATTACGACCAGGTGAGTTAGTAGTGTTGGAAGGAGGATGGGAAGAGAAACTAATAGTTGTGGAGTGCCTGTTGGGTTCTGTGCTAAGAACCTTTATGCCCATTATCTTCTAGAAATTTCAGATGGAGGCTCAAGTCTGTACAGCTCACACCTGTACCTCAAATTCCTGGCACTGAGGTACAGATTAGGGGAAAGTTTCATCTATCACCACCACAGTTACAAATGATGTCAATGTTTGACTTTTTCTAGCAACCAAAACACAGAAGTTGGAATTTTTGCTTAGCAAGATTTTGGTATGAACTTGAACATTTTAATTAGGTGTTTTCCCAATTATTGTGAGGAGGAATGGGGAAATGATGAGCCATGGAAGCGAATCGTATATGCACATGATTCTACTTTTCTCTTAACCAAAAGGTGCTGCAATTGCATTTATTGCTCCAATTTCATTTATTAAATGGCTATTGTTAAAGTAGGCATGGGTTTTTACTTTTGTAAGTATAACTACTTTGAGAAACTACTTTATTTTCTTTGTGTACTGAAAGCAATCAAAGTTAAATAGTGTTTATGTGTTTTAAATTATACCCACGCAAGTCATTAATGACTAAGTGATGTTTGAAAGTATGAACTTCTGATTTACATTGACAGAATCCAGGTTATAGAACTTAGAGAATGTAATCTGGAATGCAGGCTTATAAAAGTCAGTCTCTAATAGCAAAATAAACAAGGATATTATAAATATAACATTGCATTTGATTGAATGGCTATGAAATGTTGATATCTGATTTAGCTTGGAAGTATTCATTATTTGATTATCTCATGATACAGCTTTCCTCTGTCCTCACTGCCCACCTTCCTTTAAAAAAATTCAACAAACACACAAATTGTCATGTCATATGTGAATGTTTAAAAGTGAATCAAATTTATCTTTTTTAATTTTGAAAATTCTTGAGCCCGTGAGTCCCACCCCTATTGTGTGGCTGGAGAGACACAGAGGAGTCCCAGGACCCAGGTGTTGCCAGTCCTCTAGGCCCTGATGTGACCAGAGGCTTGATGTGCCCTGTTGTCAACTTGTCAGTTGGCCTAGTCCAGGCCGTGTGAGTGCCTCTGACCTAGAAACCTGCAGCTTTCCTTGGGAGGTGGGTTGGATAGATCTTTCCATTCTAACCCAGCTCTGCTGTGACTGTGGTTCAGCAAAACAGGTTCCAATGAATAATCCATTAGGTTTAGGCTTGTGTATTGATTTTTAAACACTGATTTCTCTTCTTTTACATCCTGAGAATGTGAAGTGATTTTATTCAATGTGAAGTAAGCTGCATAAGCTTACTTGTACGTGTTTTTAAATGAATCATTATGATGAAAATTACCTTGAAAATGTAATAGTACCAGGTCAGATATTAGTAAATTTTGGAAGTTGTCATCAATTACATGTACAGATTATACTAAGTGAAGGTCATTCCTACTCTCTTATTCTGCCAGATATATTGCCAGGTGAAAGAGTTGCTTTAGAATTCAGTTTCATTTAAGGAAAGGACACCCTCTTACAAACCCATCTCTGAGGTGAAAGCTATTTGCATTAACATTTATTTATTCATGAATTTTCCAAAGCACAGGAAGAATGATTAAAGTTTCCCTCCTCCTTAAGAATGCATAACTTTAGCTTTATTAGTTGTTATATGCTTCTCTATTTTTAGTTGGAATAACTCAGAGGGCCTTGATTACTTCCTCTCAAGAAAGAGGCCCTTGGCTAATCTGTCAAAGGCAAGTAGGTAGCCAGCTTTGGAGTATTAGAAGAAGCTAAGTTAAGGTCAGGACACCAATACTCACCAAGGTGTCTCTGGTCAGATATCTTCTTCACTCCTGGTCAGACATCTCTTAAACTTAGTGGAATTTTATTTAGCGACTAGAAGCCCAGTGTGCGAAATCGTGCAGCTCTGCCCATGGGCGGGAGCCCTGCTGTGCTTGCAGCCCCGCCCACCCACTCTGGTCTTTGGTTGTTACGGCGTTAGGGCCACCAGCTTTATATATATATAGATTTTGTAAGTTAAGGTATTTGTGAAAGTTCATTTGGATGAGGAAGTCATCCAAGGGGGAACCATTGAGGAGGAAAGTAACGACAGAAGCAAAAAGCTGGTTGAAGTCAGAGAGGGTTCAGAATGAAAGCGGATGTTCAGATCTTCATTAGGATTATAGGAAATGCTCGATGGTAGAGACCAAAGTTGAGATTGAGGGAATCTCAGAGAGTTGGGCTTGAATGGGGAATCCTCCCTGATGGCCCTGAGAGTAGGGAACTAATATTTAGGCACCTATGTGCACCAGGTGCTTTTGTAGACATCATCTCCTTTGAACAGATGACGGCCCCCACACTGCCAGTGGAAAGAATGATTGAGAAATGTTTCCAGTACAACTATGTCTCTTAAATTTTAGAGTTTCAGTCTCTCCTTTTGGTGTTGCATGGGATCTTCAAGGGTGAGTGAGAAAGCTCAGGATGGATGTCCAGAGTCAACCAACCTTATTTTAGTCACACAGCTTATAGTTTACAACCTCTATCACCAGCACAAAGTTAGTTACAGCTCCAAATTTTTACATTTAGCCCTCTCCCCAGTCTCCACATCCCCAAGGAAATCTTGTGTGCTAGTTGGAACTATCAAATTTTTAAAATAATTATGATTCATTAGGCCATGGTTTTTATCAATTTTTTGTTTTGGTTTATTTTGTGTTGTTTTAAAATCAACTCTCTTTCCCCTAGGAGATACAATAATGATAGAAAATAAATGAAATCTGTGCTCGTAATGCATCCTCCATAAATCATCTTGCCCTTGGTGAATGGGTAAATGGCTATTTGTGAGGCTGTAAATTGAATGTACACGGGCACATTAAGGAACAGACACTGTGTATGAAATGAGAGCATTCAAAAGGTTATTTTAAGAAAATTTCCCTCTTCTGCCCTAAAGTATTTTTTTTGTACTTAGAACTTGCCCAGGAGTCAGGGAAACAGTTTCTACAGTGTAAGTCCCAGTATGAGTGTGCCAGGCACTATAAGCAGATCCACAGGAACCTAAGCCCCTTTCTCAGAATGAGAACATGTGATAATCATCACACAGGGCTGGGTCCAAGTGGAATTAGCAGCAGACCAAAGGTAATAGGTCTCTGGGCAGAATTTTAAAATATATATATATGTGTGTGTGTGTATGTGTGTGTGTATATATATATGTATTTTATTAATTTCAGGAAGGAAAGGAGAAGGAAAGAGAGATATAAACATCAATGATAAAAGAGAATCATTGATCAGCTGCCTCCTGCACGCCCTCTATTGGACATCAAGCCCGCAACCCAGGCACGTGGCCTTGATTGGTCTTAAGCCTGGGACCCTTCAGTTCGCAGACCGACTGGCTCTATCCACTGAGCCAAGCTGACTAGGGCCAGAATCTTTTCCAACAGTGGTTCCAAACCTTGCTACATGGCCAGATCCCCCAAGAATTTAACTACAGATCAATGAACCAAACCTGGGTTTTACATCAGAATTTCAAAGGTTGTGCCCAGGAAATTTGCATTTTTATAAAAGCTCATGACCTAAATAGGAGACATGATTAGGTTCGTAAACTTTTCTGGTTGTTGGGCTGGAAAGTAAAAAACTAAGAAACAAGGTTGAGTTTTCCCACTAATTACAACTTTGATGAAGTACCTCTAGGTTCCACTTCTTATAAAATATGAGCCTTCCAGATGCTTTCAGGCTCCACAATGTTATGATTCACTAAATGAGAGTTTTTGACCATAGCTTCAGCAGTTGCTTCTGTTTTTGTGTCTTTGGGTTTAGAAACTCATTTTCAGAACACGCCATTAACATAGGTGGAGTTTGTGGCTGACTATGGAGTCCATTCAAAGGATTCCAAGGAGGACTTTCTCACCCAGAACATCATTCACACCAATTTCTTTTACTTTCAGAAATGTATTTCTTAGAAGAATAGGTGAAGTATCTTTCCTCATATGTTTAAGTCCTCTTCAATAGGGATAAGAAGAACAATAGCAGGTTAATAATATTTTTGTATTAAATAGTTTAGCATTTCTCAGCCATTTTTTTTATTATGGCATCTACAACTAATGATGTTCACATTCGCATTGCTTCTCCCTCTCATTGACATATTCAGGTTGTGTATGATGCCCATCTATAATGCTTTTTCTTCCTACTATAAAAACACTCAGAATGAACATAGTGAGAGTGACATTATTATTAGAATAACTTTGAATCGGCATTGCCAGGGGGTACATGAAAAAGCACAGATCCCTCCCCAGGAAGACACTGTTTTTTTTTTTGTGGAGCCTACGAATTGGGCTGACAACACACACACACACACACACACACACAGAATAATCTAGAATCTACTCAAGTTTTATAAAAATAAAAGTAAAGCTAATTTTCCAAATTTAATAGTAAAAAATTAGTTGGAATATATCTCTTCTGATTGTGACTATATTAATTTGCTAGGGCTGCCTTAACCAAGTACCATAAATTGAGTGGCTTAAACAACAGAAAGGTATTGTCTGACAGTTATGATGACCAGGAGTGTGAAATCAAAGTGTTAGCAGGTGTGTTCCTTATGAGGGGATGATCTGTTCCAGATCTCTCTCCTTGGCTTGTAGATGGCCATCTTCCAGTGCCTCTTCACATTGTCTTACTTCCAGGCATGTCTGTCCTGGTGTCCAAATTCCCCACTTTATAAGGACATTGGTCATATTGCACAGAAGCCATCCTAATGACCTCATCTTAATTTGATCATCTGCAAAGACCTTATTTCCAAATAAGGTCACATTCTCAGATACTGAGGGTTAGGATTTCCACATGTTATGGTAGAATACAATTAAACCCATAACAGTAACATTCCATCATATTGCGGTATTGATGGTGAAAAACCAATGAATCAATTTATGAAATGAGGTGGGTCATTGTCTTTAGGAAATCAATAAAAGTATAGACAAGTTTTTCTGATGTGAGATGGAAAGATTAAAGATGGAGTAAGGAACTGCCAGGGGCATATAATTTTGGGGATACTTTGTATTCATTAAGAAAAATTAAAATTCTAATTCCCTTGCTTCCCTGACAGCAATATGAAGAATAGGAGGGCTAGAAGGATTGGCATTTTCATGGAAAACCTTAGAAATCTGAGAGTTCCAAAGTGTTAGTTGAATTTTAAGGGTTTCAAAGGAAAAAAAAAAGACTAAGCATTTGTTAATTTGACCGGTATATTTTATGATTAGTTGCATAATATGTACTTAAGTAAAAACAATGGGTTTAGGGATGTACAACTCAGAACTGTTTGATATGCAGAACCTTCGTTAGGTTGGTTTGCCTTTTCCTACTTGAGTTACTAGCAAAGAACTAAAGACACTAAAATGCCATCTTTCTGAAGGAACAAGACTGCAGTGCTTCTCAAACTTTAACATGTTTATAGATCACCTCGAGAATCTGGTTAAAATGTAGATTCTCATTCAACAACTCCGGGGTCCCTGGAGCACAGGCTTAGTAAGGAGCTAGGAATTCTTCAGAGGAAATGAGCGGGGAGACACTCCCTTCGCATGCCGTGTCCTCTGCAGCAACAGCAACACGTGATTTGAAAGTTTTCCTACTTCTATTCTACACTTCCTTTCAAGTTAGATTATTTAGTGGACGAGGGTAACAGCGTCTTCCTTAGAAATTCCTCTGAAGCCACTGCTTCTTAACATTTAAACATAATGTTCTATCCCTCCCTTCCTCTCCCCCTCACCCCCAAGTTTGACACTTACTGGGAGCTCAGTAGTCAGTCATTTTTGCCCAGCTTCCAGTAGAGGTCATTGCCTTGTTACAGAAGTATTTTCCTCTCTTACTAAGAGAGTTCAGTCCCTGAGATGACTTTGCATTCTGTGGGTGAGTTTGGGAAGTCAGCCTAAGGGATCATTTACCCCTGAGACCATTGCTTATAATAACTCCTACATTCAAAAGTAGGAGTCATTCTGCCTCCTCTGGTCAGTTAACCTGAGTGGCAATGATGGCTTAGACTTTTCCGATGACCCAGAACAAATGAAAGAAAAAGGACTGAAGCATGGTCTAAGTTCTACAAAGTCTAAGTGCAGTACATTATTTTGCTGGGGCTGCCATAATAAAATACCACAGCCCTGGTGATTCAAACAAATGGAATTTACTTTCTCACAGACCTGGAGGCTGGAAGTCTGAGTGAGATGAAGGCATTGGCAGGTTGGTTCCTTCTAGGGCAGGGGTGGGGATTGCCTGAAATTGGAAATCATTTGGCCTGGCCCTGCCAAGGCATTAATTAAGTGTTTGACTAAATGTAGCAGGCTAATTTTTAAGTTGATAATTTTGTATGGCCTTTGAATGATGTTATAAATATCCAAATGGCCCTTGGCAGAAAAAAGGTTCCCCACCCCTGTTCTAGGGGAAGGATCTGTTCCAGGCCTCTCTCTTTAGTTTATAACTGGCTGCCTTCTCCCTGTGTCTTCACCAAAATCAAGTGTTATCATTCTCATACTCAGGAATAAATGTTAAGGCGCTATTCTGTACGGTGGGGCTACTTGCGTGATCTGCACACTCTGGGCAGCAGCCACAGTCCAGCAGGCGACATTGTTAATTCTACCCCCAGAGGGGCTTCAGAGAACCACAGAAAGATTCATTGCAAAAGACTTACCACAAGTTATAGACTTAGAACTTTATAGAATTTTCTTACATTGTAGATGCAACAACTGAAATATTATAGACCAGAGTTTTGAGATCAGTATTTTACTCCTTTCTTTCTAAGGAATTAGTGAAAACCTTATGTCTGGCTCAGAGAATTGTCTCTGTCTTGATCTCCTTCAGAGTTTCAGGTTTACCATATTAACTTTCTTGCTTGTATTTTACCCTGTTATATCCCACCCTTTTGGTTTGAAGATGGTCACTTCCTTATAGTGGAGCCCTTTATAATTATCATAAAGATTCTAAATTTGCTTTGGGTTATTTGAAGTGCGGAGACTTTGAATTGCCAAAAGAAGCCTTTGAAAAGTTAATTTCTTATTTATTTCCCCTTTCTTTCTTATGGTGGGTTCTTGTATTATATTTCTTTTTGAAAAAAATATTTATTTAAAAATATTTTTATTTATTTCAGAGAGGAAGGGAGAGGGATAGAAACATCAGTGATGAGAACTATTGATTGGCTGCCTCCTGCATTCCCCACACTGAGGATCAAGCCCACAACCCGGGCATGTGCCCTGACTGGTAAACAAACTATGACCTCCTGGTTCATAGGTCGATGCTCAACCACTGAGCCACACTGGTCCAGCTCCTTTTGAGTATTCTTATGGCTACATCTTTTATTTTTTTAGATTCAGTTTGCTTTAGAGGATGAGGAGCCTGTCTATTTGATTCAAAACATAATAGAGTCCTTAAAGCCATGAATATCATAACATCCTATCTGGTTTCAGCCACTAAGGGAAATTACTACTTAACCAAATATTGAAGTGGCTAAGCATAATTTATGAGGCCATTGTTCTCTGTTGTTGACCTGACTTTTAAGGGTAGTGATCACACCTTGGAGGGAGACAGGAAAAGTACTGCTCTTCTGTTCATCTTCATAGGCTACTTGACTTTTTCCTCCCCTTATTAACCACTCCCACTGATGCAAATGGGCTTGGTCTTTCACTTCATTGTTTCCTGATTCCTTTTCATGTGAATGCCCTTGGCTCTGAGGTAACATGATGGTAACATGCTAGTTCTATGAGTCCAGAACGTGAGCAGCTGGGAAACCCTGTCACCAGAGCATAAAACCCAGACACAGATTAGCTCAAACATCAATTGCTAAATATCTTGTGAGATATTCAGCATCCTGTTCACTATTTGGTCAAACAGACTATTTCACGGACTCCTCAAATCTACGGTAGCTGTGAGTTAGGTGTGGGAACGTAGATGTGGTACTTTAGTCCCCTGAATAAGGACATCATCACAGCGGATTCTCTTTCTGCACGGTTCTTGCTTGGGCTCCTTATGTCCCAGCAGTATTTTTTTTTTTGCACAGGTTAAAGGTTTGGATAAAAATGGGGACACTGTTGCAGGAGTGATTCATGAGGCTTATTTGCCAGTTTATCACAAATTGCATCTCTTTCCTCAGAGAACACATTCTCTGGTCCCTTTAATCTCTTTTACAAGGGATGACAGTTTATATTAACAGAGGGCAAGAATAAATCATTCAGTTTAAGTGGTAATGATCATCTAATAATAAGATGTGATAGGATTATATTAGAATTGCAGAACTGGGCTATTTATTGAGTGGCATGCTATCAAATGACAAGCCTCTGAGGACATGGGGATGATTATAATCTAGAAATGCAAAAAGTTAAACTCTTTTATTATTATTTTGCTACAAATTCTGGTCAAATAAAGTTAACTTTGAAAATGTCTGATACGTGAAAAAATAAAATTAAATGAGACTTCATCTTCTAACACTTTCTGGTAATTTTTCAAAAGAATTCTATATTTTTGATATCTGCATTATGTGTAAAAATGTTAAGGCCTGGTTGATAATATAGAAATGAATATGCTTTTAAAAATGTTTAATTTAGTGTCATAAAATGATTACTAGCTTCAATTATAATGCATTCTAATAGCTCATTACAAACCATGTTATGCCCTGTCCTGTATGGCTCAGCTGGTTGGGCATCATCCCATGCATCAAAAGGTAGCTAGTTTGATTCCCAATCAGGGCACATGCCCGGTTGTGGGCTCCATCCCTAGTAGGGGGTGTGCAGGAGGCAGCCAATGGATGTTTCTCTCTCACATTGATGTTTTTCTCTCTCCCTCTCCTTCCCTCTCTCTCTAAATAATATCAATTAAAAAAAACATGTTATAAAACATATTAGTTAAAAAGCTTTATTTCAGTCTGCGATGACTTTAAAGAAAAGGCAGTGTGACCAATAAGCTAAACAGAGGAACTAAAAAATGGGAATTCAAATTTCAACTGGACCCTTTAACTGAGTACTTTAGAACTTTCTTTGCAGAACTGAATTAAGCACTTCTTTTATAATATCAGCAAACTTATTTGCATGTTCTTTGAGCCCCAGTTCAATGACCTTGATCTTGGTTCATTGTCATTCATTATCTCCAACCTTGCTCAGCCTCCCATTTTGAATATTTTCGGTTTTTCTTTCTTGGCTTCTTTATCAGAGCATCTTATTTTAGCTCCTATGCAGTTTCTCATTTTCCTTTCTCAGAGATATTGCAGGTTCAGTCCTAGATTACTGCAATAAAGTGAATATTGCAATAAAGTGAGTCACACAAATTATTTTGTTTCCCAGTGCATATAAAAGTTATGGTTACACTA